CCTCCTTACTTTACTTAGTTGTGCTTGTTGACAGATCTGGGCTGGAGCCACGGGGCGCCGTTCTTCTGACATAAGGAGAAAACATCGGCCTTTCATTTTCCTAACTTTGAGATCTTTGTCAAAAACAAGTGCAGTATGTGAGATAGATCCAGGACAGATAAGAAAGCATAGCTAAGATTACAGATAACTGAGGGTCGTGCAGCTGTCAACATGCTTGAACACGTTTCTGGGTTTGTTTGGGTTAAATGGGTCTTAATGCCTTTGTATCAGTTTTCTTTTCCTTTTCTTCTTTCATTTTTAAATACAAATTTGTATGGTTCCCTCTGTGTTCAAATGTGGCACCTGAACCTCCTCTATAAATCTGTTGTTGTGAACATCAGTATGCAATCACCCCTCTGAGAAATCTATCCATTGATCCGTCCACTCTACAAGTATGGAAAAAATAGGAATGTTGACATAAATCTGCAGACCCACTATCACGTCTTTTTTCTCTCACATTTCTCCCACTGAAGAAGCAGAATTGGACCTTTACCCGGACTCGCTGATCCAATAGGGCAGTTCCTCTGGTCTGAACCGCTGAGCGAGAAGAGAACCTCCCTGTTACAGCCAGAGCCTTCTGACTTTAATAGGAACCATAATTGCACAGCGTTGTGTATTTATACCCAGCTGTGACTCAATGAGACGTGTGGGCTGTGATTGTGTGAATGTGCTTGTGCTGCACAGACTGCTTTGGGCTCGATGTGGAATAATGTGTGGACATGTGTGTCAGTGAAAGCTGACTCAATAAAGTGTCTCAGTAATGCATGAAGTGAAACGTGGATCCACTTTAAGTATCCTTCAAGGTGGGGCTTTTCTTAACCCATAAATACAGAAATAGGTCATTCTTTCTTTACCAAATGATAGATTAAAGAAGAAGCAGTAAATGATAATACCTCATTACTCTTCAGCATTTGGCATAAAATCCTGCCTTGGTTTTCTATTAACTTTTACATATATTTTTTTATGAGGTACAAAAGCGACTTTCAGTAATACCAATATATTGTAAAATGTATTTATTAAAGCTGAAATGAAACAAATTATTATTTAAAATGAACAGCCTAATCTGCTAGCTAATATAAGCAGCTGATCGCAACATCGAGCTTTTTGAGATTTTAAGCAGAGATTTAAAGAAATATGACCTCTGATATTAGGAAGTATAATTTGTTGAAATAGCACCTTGTACAGGTCAGATTATAGGTCAGATTAGGAAAAAATTCACAAAAAAGGGCATGAAAATCAAACACTACAAATATCCTAAAAAACTATTTCAATGTTTTAATATTTTGTTTAATTGAACGCTCTAAAGACAATGTTGCAGGGTTAGAGGTCTGGATATTTAGCCCAATGCAGGCTTATATCTGGTTCTGTGGATGATGAGTAGATTTTAAGCTTGAGTTTGAGTTTGGTAATAAAGGAAGGGCATGGACCATACAGAGCCCTGAAATTAAATGTCAGGATTTTGAAATGAATTTTAAAATGAATGAATGAACAGCTCATCGGTTAGTTCTAGTTTTGGACCAACTGAAGGCATTTAAGGGCATTTCTGTGGATTTGTGTAAAATGTTCATTTCTGAGAGTCTGGATGAGGGGGTAAAAAAGTATGAATAACCATCATAAGTTCCTGTTTTGACACTGACCTCAGATTAGAAATATTTCTCACATGACCAGTGAGTTATTTTCAGTGAGCTTTAAGACACATTCAGTTGTTTAAAAAAAAAACACCTAAATTCCTTACGTTTAGATTTAAAGCAGAATGACTCTTCGCAAGCTACTGGTTTTCCTTTGAAAGCTTTTTACACGTCTGACTGTATGATCTGATTAAATTATCTCTATAAAGTGCTTTAAGATTCCATGATTGGTGAATTGCCGCTATATATAAACAAACTCAATTAAAGTGACCAGTAGTCTGACCATGGGAAACAAACTATTCTAGGTGGTAATCCCTCTATCTTACCTGAATTTAGTTCATTTTTCTTCTTTTCCTTTAAGTATTTAGGAAATTCAGAGTTTAAAGACCCACAGAGTTCTTGAAGAAGCTGTCTGGCTGAATGTCATCTGCATAAAGTGATAGGCAATGTTTGAAAATGGATAAATTATCTATCCAGGAAATTAAGTGGGCTAAACTTAAAACCTGGGGTTACCTCAAAATTAAGAGCAGTAGAATCAGACCCCTTCTTTACAGGTTCTGTTTGTCAAGGTTCTGTTTGAAAGGAACAATCTAAAACAGATCCCAAGATCCCCACCAAACTGTGGAGTCTGTTATTTAGGATGGCTTGATCTACAGCCTCAAAGGCTGTTGCTATTATCTCCCCTTTTATGTCCTACTAGTAAAACGTATTTTATATTTTTAAAACAGGAAGAAGATTATACATGGTTTTAAAAATGTTTCAGAATTAAAAATGATTAAAGGGTGACATAAGTAATTCCTGCCCTTTATTCTGATGCCCATAAGTAAAATCTACTGTAACCGATTGTTTGGAAGTCACCTAAGATTCAACCTTGGTGCCACACACACCTGCTGTGTTTAAAAACCAGCTTTCCTGTCAGAGAGCCTTTAAAGCTGAGCTGTGTTGTGTTAAACGGATACGTTACTCTTTACACGTTTGGATTCCTGTTATTCCTCTGCGATCAGATTACCTCCTTTAACTTTTCACCTCATCACCATACCCAAACTGTCTGAACCTGCTGTGTTTTCCTTTTGACGTCCTGCAAAATAACCAGAGGGTACAGTCTGTGTGGATGACAGACCTCTCCAGTCGAGTTAGTACTCGTCCCATTGTGTGGCAGGTGAAACCTGTCTAACCCCACTGTTAGCGGACGTGACAAGTGTTGGAAGAAGAGGCCCGTCTGCGGCAACGCTGGCACCTGTATGTCTCTCTTACCCGTATCCTGGAATCCTAGCTGTTTGCTGAGAACTCCATGTTTGGCCTTTTTCTGACAGATTTAGTGCAGACATGGGTACTACTACCAGATGTTATTACAAACTGCACAGAATTACAAAGCTTTATACTTTTCGTGTTGTATGTCATAAGGTTGTCTTGAAACTATGAGACCTGGGTCAATTTTTCTGGGGTGTTCTACAAGTTTTTATTAGATTGTAGGAATTTTGGCCCATTCTTCTTGATATGGCTGCCTGCCTCACACACCTTTACAGCTCTGAACTGTTTTCTGTGGTACTGCGATCAGAATCAGCAAGCTTGCACACAAACAAATAACTCAGCCTTGACGTTTTCCTCTTTTTAAGCCATTGTAAATATGAACATATACAAATTGTTGGGAAAGAAACATTTGTTTTTTTCTTCCTTTTAAGTTTGCACACAGTAGTTTTTACAAAATATCTTTGCTTTGTTTTTACTACTAGTGTAAAACACAACAGTTTTGGGATGTGTTATAATGAAGACATCCACCATTCTGTTTTCAGCATCTTGTCAATATATTTATTTTCACATTAGGTAGCTCAAATATTTGGTAATACCTACCTTGGCATCTAGGTATTTATTAGGCATCATGTTGGTAAGATTAAGTAGATCAATCAGAAAATATGAGTTATATGAGTTATATATATATATATATATATATATATATATATATATATATATATATATATATATATATATATATATACACATACCAAGAAAGGATGTAAGATACTTCAAGCAAACCTGAAGAAGCATTCCATGGCAGAGTGAGAAGGTAGAGAAGCTGAAGGAGGGAGATTAATAAGCTAAAGCAGAAACACTGGTACAAGACAATCAAGGGAAATATCTGACAGAGATGTACGGTAACAGAAAGTTATACAAAATTATAAAGACAGCATGATTAAACTCAAGCTAAATGTAAAAAAAAATGAAATAAAAAGCAACAAAATTAATACAAACCATAGAGAAGTTAACATAAGACAAATCCAAATCAGAGTATGGCAATAACCTAGAACATGACAAAAATGTTAAATATTACAACCCAGCGACTGAGGCTACATTACAGTGTTTATATAATAGAAATAGTTTGGCTGTTCCTACCAGATCGTCTGTTTTAAAGTCAGGCAGGGTTCTTTATGAAGAGTATGTAAACTTCTGCTTTCAAGTCGAGGTGCATTTGTTTAGTGTATTTTTGAAGCAGGAATGTAAGACTGGGTCACTTTGACCTGAATTAGCTTTATTTACAGCAAGGTTTATGTTGCTCTCCTGTATCTATGTTCTGTATTGTCCTCCCTCTTTATTTTTCCGCCCTCAGCTTAGAGGAGATAAATGCAGGGGTAAATGTTTTCTTTTCTCTTTGTGCTGGAAATTGGCCTCTTTCTCTCTTTGCTTTTTTGTTTTTTTTCTTGCTTTTCCGTCTCGCCTCTTAGTGAGGAGGAGGAGGAGGAGGAGGAGGAGGAGGCAGGGCTGGCTTTTGTGAAGTTAAGCGTCCGGAGCCTTGTCACTATATGAAAGCTTGCACACATGCAGCACTGAAGTGAGCATCAGCTATGCTTTTAAACTCTTAAACAGAGGAAGGTATCTTCTTTTTTTTTTTGTTATCATTTTAATCATCTTGATGTTTTGCCTTTTTGGAACGTTTTGCCTTACAGCTTTGGACCGTTGTTTATCTTCAGATGACTGTCAGACCGGTTTGGATACAACCAGAGAGGCAAATACAAAGGAAGAAGTAACAGAAAGCAAAAGAGTGCATGATGAAATGGTTGATGCTTGTTATTAAAAGTAAACAGGAATTTGGGACTGACATAGGGGTGAGATGAAGTGATTTGTTTGGAAGTATAGATAGAGAGGGTAGTTATTTAGAAGAGAGAGAGAGAGAGAGAGCAGTGGGAGGGAGGACAGGCAGAGGATCCAGCCCTCTGGGACAGTGGTGTGTGTTTTGGGGGTGGACAGTTTGGCCTGGCTTGCAGAACATCACCGGACACCGACGGGAGAGGGNAGAAGAGAGAGAGAGAGAGAGCGCAGTGGGAGGGAGGACAGCCAGAGGATCCAGCCCTCTGGGACAGTGGTGTGTGTTTTGGGGGTGGACAGTTTGGCCTGGCTTGCAGAACATCACCGGACACCGACGGGAGAGGGGCTCCGTTAGTTGTTCTCTCTGTGTGTCTCTGTAGTGAAACCAGACCTACCTCTTGATCCCACACATACTCACCCCTCCATCTGCCTGTCACAACTTCTACCTTCTGCTCCGTTCTCTCGGTTGGTCCCACCGAGTTGGTTCCACGACAAGACCAGCGATGTGGAAAATGTGGGATTCTTCTTCTTGAAGCAATGGATTGGAGCGTAGAGGCAGGAAATCCAGACTATTTGAGTGAATGACTTGAAAACCCAAGAGGAAACATTTAGCCAGCCTCTGTTCCTGTATCTGGACTCTGTGCTGATACGTGAGCGCGTGCGGTCCATGGTGGTAGTGAGGGATGCGTCTCTGACTGAACTCGCTGCACCGATGCCTGCTGCTATGCTTCCGTGCCCTGCGCCAGCCGGGTCCGACTGGAGCTTCCAGAACCCGGTGGGGGTGGACTGCAGCTCTCCGGAGCCTCGCTGCATTTGGTTGGCCGTTCTCCACGGAGCCTCGAGTCCAGCACCCCCCACCGAGCCAGTTTCAAACAACCAAAGCTCGCATCAGCTCACGGTAAGGAGAGGTCACCAAAATCCATCAGCATGAGATTAAGGCTCCAGCCAAACACTAGTTTCATTTTAGCTCAACTAATTTGATTCTAATTCTCCTGCATACTTTAAATTAATGTATGTTTAATATAAAACGACAAAGCAAAAAGACAAAGTTCCGACTGAATATATGGAATTTCCAGTAAATTTTCATATCTATACTATTTCCTTCATACTACAGCTGGAGAACCAAAAGATTTATTTCTAAAATTCTTTAAATAATTGATTTGCCTTATTTTTAGAGTTCAAAAAATTAACAGGATTATAATATTAAAACGGCTCATCAGTTGCTTATAATATAGGAGGTGTGCAGTTTTGATCCCACAGAATTAGCTGTGCAAACACTAAGAGAAGCTGCACGTTCCTAGGAAACCGCTGCATGTTTTTTTTTGTCAGTCGTGCATCTCAGCAGTGTTGCTGTACCTGTTGTTTGGAGTCAGCTAACCGCTCAGCTGGTGACAGGTTCCTTAACCTCTCAATGTTACCTGGAAGAGCGATGTCATGGTCCCTTTAACTTCTTCTCTAAGGCTTAAACGTTTTAGACAATTTATTTATTTTGAATATCTATTGCAAAAATATTACAGCATTAAATCTTATTATTAATATAGTTGTTTTTTCTTGTAATACGTCAGATTTCTTAAAATGAGTGAAATAACAGATTTCGGTTTGCAGCGCCAAAGGCAACCCTTTTTTTTTTATTATTTACACTTAAATTCAGATGTTTCTAAAGGTATTATGTGTCCCATTTACTCTTGTTTTCAACTATGTGTTTAAAATAGTTATCACCACTTAATAACGTCTGATAAAGGTATAGTTGTGATTCTTCAGGACCCTTTTCTTCTCAGGGGTTCTTGTTTAGCTTCCAAAGATGGGATGTTCAGAGACAAGCTGCTTCCTATCTCTTAAAATATTCAAAACTTTAGGGTGTTTTCACTGCTGTATGATCTCATAATCGTGTGATTATTCATGTGGAATATTGCTTCCCTTTTTCTACCTTTTTCCTGCTGTACTATCCCCCCACCCCCCTGATCTCTGACTGTTTGAGACAGCTAAGAAATGCCACAATCAGGAATGCAAGCGTGGGGGCAGGAGACAAACAATCACTGTATGCCATGTTTGTTCTCCTGCATAGAATAAAAGTGCGTCACATTTTCTCTAAATGTGAGGAGGAAACAGAGTTTCTGTCACACTCTGCTGCAGATGCCGTTAAAATTAACGTAACAGTCTGGAATTTCATGTTTGTTATGATATCTATAGCTTGTGAATGAACCTTCAAACAGAAAAATACTTGAACCTCTTGGCTTGAGCTCAGTGTATAGAAACAGAAAAATGTTTAGTTTTTTTTGGAAAAACCACAAGTTTAATTCTAATAAACTATATTTAGGTTTAGGTTTTTACAGACACTCATTTTATGCGAAGCCAAAGAAGTCTTACCGGTATATGTCTGAGCCTGATTGTGGTTGTTTTTTTTTTACTTTCGGGTGGAAAAAGTCTTAATTTATTTGAGAAAAATGGGTCCCTGTCCCTCTGTGTCCTCAAAGTAAGGTTGAGCCATAAATATATTTTATGGATCAAATAAAAGTGCTCTCTGTCAAAATTTCATTTTTGGAAAATATTGATGCAGTGTTAATCATTTCTGTTTCTAAGTTGATGTTATGCCCCTTTTGGTGTGTTACTCTGGGCAGTACGCTTCATCATCCATATTAACCACTATTTTACATCCAAGAACAATTTTTGGGTGATTTCTAGAGGTGATTTGTGGTTTTTCTTATGGTTTTGGGGGGTTTGCTTCTAACTTTTTAAAAAACATTTTGCATTTTTCTTTGTCTTGTCACTAAAACTCAATTTGGTCCAATTTATTTTCTTGAATCCTTAAAAATAGATGTTAAAACAATAAGATGATCATAATCAACAGTCAAAGAGAAATGGCATAGCTGAAACATTCGATCTTCTTCAACCTTATTGCTGTTGCTGAGTGAAGAATATTCAAAGCAAGCAGAGGTTGGACATTTCTCACATGATATGATCAGAGTTTTTAAAGAAGCTGTTCGTGCAGAAAGTAAATTAATTTCCACCATAATGATGCTTTGCTGACTTGACCAGCAGCTGACTTCATTAATTTGTTTTATTGGGCATAGATTCACCGACTGACGTGATTTAAGTTTTTTTATGAATGGCTAAGGTTGATGGATTTGGGCATTATTTTCTCATATGTTTTTTTCTTTTTAAAGCTAAGTAATATGCTTTTCTGGTTTAACATGTAGATTAAAACTAAACTAAGTTGTTGAGGTCCATTCCTTCCTTTTATGAACTTAAAAGTAGGCTTGACCAGAGCAAAAAGTCCCCTGGCCATATTTAAACCTGCGTCATGCATCAACTGTGTGCCTCTGCCCGCCGTCCATCCAAGTCATGCTGTTAAAAGTTATTCTAAATCTGCGGCTCTTCTTGGAAACACATTGTTTCAGGTTTGAATGAAAATAGCAAAGTCTGGCACATGTGGGTTGGAGGACAGGAAGGCTGCCTGTTTTCCCTTTAGAGCAGAAAACCCTGTTTAACTGGCATTGCATCATCACCTGCCAGCCTGGTTGGACAAACAGTTGGGTTAGACTAGTTTTTGAACACACATCCTATACTCATATTGAAACACGTGTGATAAGAAGGTTGTTTAGAATCCTCCTCTGCTTTGCTTTGTTGGGATTGATCCGATATGGCTGCCTCTTTGAGGACGTAGGATGCATTTCGATGTGCAGAGGTGGAGGAATTCTCCCTCTCTGTGGCCGGTAAGTCCTCTGCTGCCCTTCCTGTCCCTCTTGGCAGCCCGGGCTGTCTGGATTAATGGGCCGTCAGCATATGCAGCCCGGTAAAGCTCCACTTTTCAAACAGGTTGCAGCTCTCAGCTGTTTAAAGGAGCATTATTGTTCCGTTCCACCGGGGTTTCACTGGGAGTCGGGCTCGGCGACGGCTGCTGCATTCCTCTGGGTGAAGCCAGGAGTATGCATGCTGTTCCTGATGACTGTAAATACAGCTTTTTGATATTATCATGAACCAGAATAGCCTCTTATGGATATAAAATTATTTTGTCCCTGGAGACAAGGAAGATTTTTAGGTCATGTGGATAATATTTTAACAATATTATCTGGAAATGATCCTCATGATGCTTTAAGGTTCGGCATCTGTGTTGAATTGATGGAAATGAAAGGATTTATGCTCCTTTTTATTCTCTTTTTTGGTATTCACTGTCATTCCAGGCTTTTCCAATGGATATCAGAAGCAGAAATAACCGCAGGGTAGTATCCTGCTGCTTTAGTGTGTACCAACAAAACTAGACTCCTGCGTGGCCTTACAGGTTACTCTACATATCCAGTTGTTTTCCAGCGAAGTATGTTTTCAAGATGACATCACCAGGTGTGAATGGGATACCTGTGAGATGTCTACTATAGGAAATATTTAGTTGCTTTTAGCTGTTTTAAACTGGTTTGATAGTGAAACATGTTGCTTGTTCACAGTAAGGAAATTTGTTGCGATTCTGACGAAAAAGAAGAATATTTTAGTTTTACTTCTTGCTGTTTCCCTAAGGAAGTAAACCTACCCCCCAAAAAATGTAATTAAAAAAAAGGCCATGTAAATTCTTTAACAAACACAATGTCCTTTCCTGGAGAAGCTGGACCAAGTCAGCATATCTGAGTGGGTTTTTTTTTTTTCAACACACAAAACAGAAGGTGAGAGGTGACTGGAGAGGTGTTTATCCGGCCCCAGGGAGGGGGGCGGAAAGGTCAGCTGTAGACTTGATTATCAGAGAAGGAACATGCAGCCCACACAGTCCAGAGGAGCCCAGTGGGATTCAGTCCAGACCCGCTCAGACCCCATGTGTTTTGGGTAATCACAGGGTTCTGGTATTCCCAGCGCCGGGAGGGGCCATGTGGTCGAAACTGGCGTGCTAAAGCCTGTCCCTTCGCTGAGCTCCTGCTCTCCGTCGTCTTCATCCTTCTCATTCACTCTCTCCTTAAGCTCCCTCCCTTGAGATTTGCCCGAGTGTGTTTCAACTTGTCCAGAATAAAACCGCTCCTTCAGAGGAATTTAGATAGATTCTTTCTCCTTTATTTCTCTGCTGCTCTTTCATTTTCTTTTTTTGTCTTTTTCTTTATGGCTTTTATTTGAAAGCTACTTCCTCTTTCAATTCTTTTAGTCTCACTGCATTCCTCTAAGAGAAAAATAACAGGTCTTGCTCTTTGTCATTTAGAAAGCTAGCCTCGAAATCTTCCAGATATCTGGAAGCTGATTTGAAAAATATGCACTTTTATATGTTATCCAGGACAAATCTGGGAACAAATTAACTTTATTTTTCTTCTTCTTTTTCTTCAATGGAATATGAAAGTAGAGGGAAAATAATGTGTGTGGTAATAGCAGCACCACACAGATTTCCATGGCACAAACTTGAGCAGGAGGAAAAGGAGGTTAAGGGGACGAGGAGGCAAGGAAGGAAAAAGAGGAGTAAAGGAATGGGAAGTACACTTAACGATGAAGAGTATATTTATAGGAGCTCCTGGTCATTCCACTTCCTGCCTTAAGCAAGGCACTTCCTGTTGCTGTGTGGTCATGCACAGACCTGCCTCATAAGTGTGTGTTAGCTGATGGTTTAAGCATGCATGACATTGTAGAAAGTAGAAAGTGGTTTTAAGAGGTTATATGACTCATATGTCCCCCTTGTTATGGTCCCTCAGGTTTCTAATAATACAAAATTAACTAATATTCTCATTTGTGACGTTAATTAACCAACTATTTATCTTTAGCAAAGATTTGAGGTTGCGTCTTAAAGATGAGCTACTTGTGTTAGATAAAACAATAAATTAAATTATCCTACAAACTGGATTAAACTATAATTCTATAAACGAGTCACAGAACCTCAATGACCCTTGAAAAACATCAATAATTGTTTTATTCTGTTACCAAGAATTGACAACATATTCTATAGATTCCTAGAAATGAAGGACATAGTTTACAGTTTAATGACAACGAAGTACAGAACAATTGTTTGTTGTAGAGTCGGTTTGATTGGTATATCGGATGATGAGATTTTTGTCATATTAAACAAAGTTATTATGTTTTAAATTAATAAATATTCCAAAAAAATGTATGATTTCACCTGACAGAAAGGGTATTAACCTGTGCCAGTATAAAAATAAAGTTCCCTCTGTGTTAATGAATCCATTAACTGCATTAACTCAAAGAAACAATTTCTTCCAATTTCACCCTGATCTGATTACTGCCCAACATCTAGGAATTATTTCATTAGATCCTGTCTGACAACATGAAGTAGGTAAAGAGACCCTCAAACACATCATGCTTTGATCTAAAGAAATATGAGTAAATGTGATATTCCTCCATTAATGATTCACAAATATATATATAT